AAGTTGATTTGATTCAGACGTATAAAATTTCAAAGTTAAAAAAAAAATTCCGATGTTATTTAAATGTGAAATAGAAAATTGCGATCCGCGACCTCTAAATCTTCAAATTAAAAGCTCAAATTTTGACGAGGTCTTTGTGTTGACATCCTCTGAAAGAATTTGCCGACCATTTGAAGAAAAAGAAAAAGTCGATTTTTTTGAAACACCCTAAATTCTTTCAGAGGATGTCAAAACAAAGACCTCGTTAAAATTTGAGCTTTTAATTTGAAGATTTAGAGGTCGCGGATCGCAATTTTCTATTTCCCATTTAAATAACATAGGAATTTTTTTTTTAACTTTGGAATTTTATACGTCTATATCGAATCAACTTATGGCAAGGAACATCTTAGATTTTTATAGTAAATTTAACGCTCTATAAAAAATGTCTCTTATAATTTTTCTATAAATTGATTTCTTCCAGAGTTATTCGAGGCCAAAGTTTGATTTCCATCGAATTTTCTCGTTTTTTCAACTTTTAGCATCATGTAGTAAAAAAATCACATATTTATATCTGGAACATAGGAAGTGTTGTAAAAAAAACAAAAAAACGTCACTTTTTTCCAAAGCCTACTACAAAGTTTTAATGAAAATTTGAGATGTGTATAATATGCAAAGTAATTTATTTATAAATGCATTTTTCTCGAAAATGGTGCATCTGAGCAATTCAAATCAAGAGTACCTATTTTTCGTAAAAACCACAAATTCTCATAATTTCATAAAAAAAATAAATTATTAACCCAGAAAAAAGTTGGGGCTATTTTTGTAACTTTGCCCCCTCCAAATGTTACGCCTATGATTAAATTTTAACAGTTTTGATCATAGATCTAGATTCAGCATGTCAAAATTACCAAAGTACCTACCGAAAATTCATTTGTTCATGTTCAACCCTCTATAGGAATAGTTTTAAAAAAAATTATCCTCTTAGGCTCCTATTCAGGGGGCCGTAGCTCCTTTAGGGAGCATTTTTTGATACATGTTTATTAAACAAAAAAAGTGTTATTTTTATACGAATAATGCACTGTTTAAGTTTGGCCCCCTGATTTCGGGACACCCGTATAATGATAATTGTACCATAAATGTTAAAAAAACGCGAAAATTCGATGGAAATCAAACTTTGGCCTCGAATAACTCTGGAAGGAATCAATTTATAGAAAAATGATAGACCTTTTTTGTAGAGCGTTAAATTTACTATGAAAATCTAAGATGATCCTTGACATAAGTTGATTTGATTCAGACGTATAAAATTTCAAAGTTAAAAAAAAAATTCCGATGTTATTTAAATGTGAAATAGAAAATTGCGATCCGCGACCTCTAAATCTTCAAATTAAAAGCTCAAATTTTGACGAGGTCTTTGTGTTGACATCCTCTGAAAGAATTTGCCGACCATTTGAAGAAAAAGAAAAAGTCGATTTTTTTGAAACACCCTAAATTCTTTCAGAGGATGTCAAAACAAAGACCTCGTTAAAATTTGAGCTTTTAATTTGAAGATTTAGAGGTCGCGGATCGCAATTTTCTATTTCCCATTTAAATAACATAGGAATTTTTTTTTTAACTTTGGAATTTTATACGTCTATATCGAATCAACTTATGGCAAGGAACATCTTAGATTTTTATAGTAAATTTAACGCTCTATAAAAAATGTCTCTTATAATTTTTCTATAAATTGATTTCTTCCAGAGTTATTCGAGGCCAAAGTTTGATTTCCATCGAATTTTCTCGTTTTTTCAACTTTTAGCATCATGTAGTAAAAAAATCACATATTTATATCTGAAACATAGAAAGTGTTGTAAAAAAAAACAAAAAAACAAAAAAACGTCACTTTTTTCCAAAGCCTACTACAAAGTTTTAATGAAAATATGAGATGTGTATAATATGCAAACTAATTTATTTATAAATGCATTTTTCTCGAAAATGGTGCATCTGAGCAATTCAAATCAAGAGTACCGTAAATACGGGTGACTTTGCACCCCGCGGGTGACTTTAACCCATTTATGAAAAATCTTTTCGCGCTCGATAAAATTAACATTTATAATTTGTTGGTCTAAACCTGTCAATTGAGCGATTCTATTGAGTTTATATTACAGGAAAATCAGTGTTTTAAAAAAAGAAATGGGATTTATTACACTTAAAAATTGTATATATCGTATCAGTGCAAAACTCTAGAAATACACGCGTTAAAATTTCTATATTATGCGCAATCCATTGGAATGATGATCCTTGGTTAACTACAGGTCGATTCTTTATTTTTTTTATTGGTAATCCCTTGCAATAGATATATGTCGCTGCTAACACGTGTCTAATAAAAATAAAATATAATATTACATTCATTTTATACTGAAAAAACACTGTGAGACAAAGTAACCCGCAACCAGGGGGTAACTTTGCACACCCAGTTTTTAATGTTTATTTTTGAAACTCAGCCCTATGTTATATTATAACATAGTTATTATGAAAGAGCAACTCAAGACTCAAATTTTGGTATACAAAATTTAATGTTTATGATTGTTAAAACCACAAAAATTTTAAGCTGAAGTTTGAAAGTGAGCCAAAGCCACCCGTGTTTACGGTACCTTTTTTTCGTAAAAAACTATAAATTTTCATAATTTCATAAAAAAAAATTAAATTATTAACCCAGAAAAAAGTTGGGGCTATTTTTGTAACTTTGCCCCCTCCAAATGTTACGCCTATGATTAAATTTTAACAGTTTTGATCATAGATCTAGATTCAGCATGTCAAAATTACCAAAGTACCTACCGAAAATTCATTTGTTCATGTTCAACACTCTAGGAATAGTTTTAAAAAAATTATCCTCTTAGGCTCCTATTCAGGGGGCCGTAGCTCCTTTAGGAAGCATTTTTTGATACATGTTTATTAAACAAAAAAAGTGTTATTTTTATACGAATAATGCACTGTTTAAGTTTGGCCCCCTGATTTCGGGACACCCGTATAATGATAATTGTACCATAAATGTTAAAAAAACGCGAAAATTCGATGGAAATCAAACTTTGGCCTCGAATAACTCTGGAAGGAATCAATTTATAGAAAAATGATAGGAGACCTTTTTTGTAGAGCGTTAAATTTACTATGAAAATCAAAGATTATCCTTGAAATAAGTTGATTTGATTCAGACGTATAAAATTTCAAAGTAAAAAAAAAAAATTCCCATGTTATTTAAATGGGAAATAGAAAATTGTGATCCGCGACCTCTAAATCTTCAAATTAAAAGCTCAAATTTTGACGAGGTCTTTGTGTTGACATCCTCTGAAAGAATTTGCCGACCATTTGAAGAAAAAGAAAAAGTCGATTTTTTTGAAACCCCCTAATATATATATGCATTCAATTTTGATAATTTAAATTATTTTTCCTATATTATATGAGCCACTTGAAAACGTTTCATGTATATTTTATACAAAAATAAAATCATATGCATTTAAGGGATAAAGTAATTTATTGAAAAAGTGCTTTAAAGTGATTTGATAATTGATAACTACCCTTACATGCATAAATTCAAATAATTGTTGGACACATACATAAGTACTTTAAAATTAAAAAATACTGGAAAAATTCGCACATTAACATAAATTTAAAAAATGGTAGGATAAATTCGCATAGTAGAATACATATAAAAAATAGTAGAACCAATTTGCCCAATGGCATAAATTTTAAAATGAACAAAATTCTTAAATAAAAAAAAATTAAAATTGTGTTTTTTAATTAAACCTTTATTAATTGTGTATACAGTTTGCCCAATAAAATAATAAAGCATTTTTCTTTTAAACCGAGAAGTTAATAAATTTTTTTTAGACGATGTGTGTTTTTTTTAACAGCTTGTAATTAAAATGTTATTAGGTTATAACTATAGTTTGCAAATTATAGTTATTTATGTCATAAGGCTAAGAAGTGAATATTTTTGTGCTAAATTCAAAGTTTAAATGTCGGCGCATAGCAAAAGCCTACAATTGAGCGAAGCCGCATGGCATAATTTTATTTGTTTAGCAATACATAAAACATAATTATAATAATAATTAAAAGTAGAAAGTGGGGTTAGATTAGATCAGATTAGATCTGATCGAATTTTTTAATTGGTTGATACGTGTTTTTAACAGACTAAAAAACTTTACCCAATTGGTTTAAATAATTTTTACAGCCCAGGAAGTTTTTTAATTGAATATAAAATAATATTATTAAAAGCATTTAACTAAATTTAAAAAAAGTCCTTTCAAATAGAGGTACCTTGTCAAAAATGTTGTTTGCTCACTAGATATAGCGGTCATTTTACAAGTAACTTTTTAAAATTGTGAAGGAATACCTATTTAATATGGACAAATGGACAAATAATACAAACACAAATTTAATATCGAAACCATTTTTTAAAACAATCAATCAACATTCATAACATGAGTCGTTAACGTTAGCCACTAGATTTAATGGTTATCGTTATATTTAATCGGTCTGATTTGTCGGATTGACCGATAACCACTGATTCTAGTGGCTAACGTTAACGACTTATGTTATTGAATTGGCCTGAATAACACTGTAGGGAGGTGAAAGTATTACAGCTAGAGCCGTAGATTAAGAATCGTGGCTTAGTTTAGCTGTATCAGGTCAAAATTCAAAAATATTTTATTTTCAAGTTTTGGAGAATCCCATTTAGAAAGGTAAGGTATAAATTTGATAAAAATTGATAAAAAAACACATGTCCCTTTTTTTTAGATAAATTAGGAAATTTAAAAGTGGTTTTTGCTAATTTTAATTGAGGATACCCTCTGTCCCCGGATCGGATTGCCAATAGGAAAAACTTTTTTAGACCTGATACAGCCTTGTATTATTTTGTCCATTTCAGGAAATTTCAATAAACACCTATTGAAAGGAAGATTTCGTCCTGTTTTTAGAAAGTAGGTAATTTATCTATTCAATTACACGTAACATTCTGAAAGACACTGTCTAAGATAATCTCTTACCAAGCTTTTGTTTTCCATCATCCAACAGCTTGCTTCACATCTCGCCACAAATAAGGCATCATATTGAGCGTACCTTGCACCTGGCTTGGTTAGAATCTCATCCAAACTGGCAATAATTAAAATGTAAAAGAGTGTTAGGGATTTTGTCATCTTTATTTATTAGGTTGCAGAAGCCTGTAAGAATAATAACACATTGTTAATAGTTTAATTAATTTTAATGTAATCGATTAAATTTCTGTTAGATAGTCCCGATTTTATGACCATTTTTAACATAATAATTTTAATTAAATTTGTATTTTGTGGTAATATAAATGTTCTGCAAAAATAAGACTCGAGGGTTGTAAGTATACTTAACCCTATAGGGCTTAAGTTATAATATAAAAAAATTGCTTTTACATTATGCGACTAAATTACAAATTAAATGAGACATCAATATTGATTAGGGCATGAATCAGGTCTAAATAGTAAAAAAAAACTTCTGAGAAGTCAGACTCAAAGAATGCAATAAATTTCCGTCTTAACATCATGCGAGGTATAATACGGCTTGTTGATATTAAAATAAGAAATAAATTAAAAAGGGATAAAAATACTTTTTTTAAAGGTTAAAAGCAATTTTATTTTAAAATCTAAAAATTTGAGATTACTATTATTTTCTTTAAGTCGAGCGTTACTTCACAAACGCCTATGCCGCTTCTCCTGTAAGGTTCCTTTTCTTGGAGTCACATATATTTACTTTTAAAATATTGACAAAATTGTTTTCTGCTTATAGACTATACGAGGTGTGTTCAGAAAATATCGGGAATTTTCGTTTTTTGAAACAAATATTTACTTATTCGTCTACATTAAACAGTCCCCATTGGATATTATGCACATGTGCCAGCTCTTCTTCCAATACTCGAAACACTTCTAAAACTCGATCTTTTGGAGATCCTTTAGTTCTTTCAGCGATGCGCTTTTAATGTCATCTATGCTTGCAAAACGACGGACCTTTAAGGTTCTCTTTATTTTTGGGAAAAGGAAAAAGTCAGGCAGAGTCATGTCTGACGAAGTTGGAGGCTGGGGCATCATTACAGTATTGTTTTTGGCCAAAAATTTTGTTCAAAATTTAACAATTTTAGAACAAATTTTGCTGCCACGCGTTTCATACCCAAAACATTCGAAAAAATTTCATGGGATGAGCCAATCAATATACCAACATCATCAGCGACTTCTATAATGGTTTATAACCATTTCTTTCACTTTTTCCATGTTTTTATCGGTTGTCAATGTGCTTGTGCGTTCGGGGCGTTCGTCATCTTCAACGTCTTTACGGCCATCTTGGAAACTCTTATACCACTTGTAAACTCTTTTTTTACTTATAGCAGACTCACTATAGGCCTTTGTTAACATTTCATAGAATTTATTTCATTTTTTAAGCATACTTGGATAAAAATTCTTTGATCCATTTCTTTTAACGAACGAAAAATCGCCGAGCTCATAAAACACGTCTAACCTTGGCGGCTGCCACAGACAAAGTAAACAATAAAAACAGCTAAAGTTTTTATCATACTTCGGGGGCATGTATACCAATTTTATGACAACCGGACCCTCCAAACCCGCTAAATTCCCGTTATTTTCTGAACACACCTCGTATATAGAAATATTTGAAGACCTTTGATTTGAGCCCACAAAACGAGCAGTGGATAATAACTACTGACGAGATATTTATTAAAGATTAATGTAATTACTGTAAAAGAGGAATAGGCAGTTGATAAGCAGATATTGAAGTGTATACATTGTTTAATAATTATTAATTATAATAATAACAATATTAATTATAATTATAATTCATTGTGAATATAATTTTTAAAACCATATCATGAAGTTTTCTTACAAATCAAAAGTGGGATAGTTACTCACATGTGAGCACAAGTGCCAAAGTGTTAAAGGAGTTTTTGTAGTCACAATAATAGTATTGCTAAGTGACATGGATATATATACAGTGTGTCCGTAAAGTCCCGGAACATGTGATTATTTTGAAAACGGTAATTTTTTTTAAAAAACGCTGAAACACGCCAACTTTTTTCTAGCAATATTTTAGCATATGTAGTTGTTCCAAATTCTGCCGCGTGGCGGCGCCACAATCAAAGTCAGTTTTTTTAAATTGCAACCCTTTATTTTTGTTGCATTTTTGGATAGCTACCGTTGTCCTGATTACATTGATGTGCCACATCTGGGGGGTTACATAAGAAAATTTTTGAGAAAATCAGGTTTTTGCTGCCGAATGAGATTTTGGTATTTTGTCAAACTTACACAATCTATGCGTTGCTTAATGTTTTTTGGAAAGCCAATCAGAGCAGTTGCTCAAAGTGTCCACCGTAAACTATTTGGAAATGGAACAGCCTGTCTACAAACGAGCGTTGTACGTTTGCCAGTACCGCTGGAGTGATCATCTGGATCTCGGCTTGAATGCGGTGTCTTAGGTCGTCCAAATTTTAAGGCCTGTTTACATAGACGCGGTTTTTAAGAGGTCCCCATAAAAAGAAGTCTAAAGGGTTCAAATCGGGCGATCGCGCTGGCCACTCAATTTGACCCCTTTGACCTATCCAGCGATTGGGAAAGACCTGATTTAAATAATCCCTTACTAGCAATGCATAGTGCCCCGTAACAGCGAATAAGTTCGTCAAAACCAAAATCTTAATCAGCGGCAAAAACCTACTTTTCTCAAAAATTTTCTTATGTAACCCTACACATGTAGCATATCAATGTACTCAGGACGACGGTAGCTATCCAAAAATGCAACAAAAATTAAGGGTTGTAATTTAAAAAAAACCGACTTTGATTGTGGCGCCGCCACGCGGCAGAATTTGGAACAACTACATATGCTAAAATATTGCTAGAAAAATATCAAAGTTGGCGTGTTTCAGCGTTTTTTAAAAAAAATTACCGTTTTCAAAATAATCACATGTTCCGGGACTTTACGGACACACTGTATATAAATAAAAAAAAAGTTTACAGTCTCAGGTTAGCAGAATTAAAATGATTTTACATAAAAAATAATATAAATATGGAATATGAAATTTTTTTGTATTTTATTTGAAATTTTTTATTAATGTTATTTTTGATCACTGATATCTTTGAAACGGTTCTGAAGAACTTTGACCTTCAGATGTTTTTTGTAGAGCGTGAAATTGTCTATAACTCCTCTCGCTTGGGTGTTGCGAAAACAAACCATTCCAAAGTTATAAGAATTCAAAATTAAAAAAATTAAAATTCCCGTGTTATTGAAATGAAAAAACAACAAATGAATTGAGGCAAACCTTAATATTAATATTAAGGGCTCAATTAGACGCAAACATTTTTGTTTTTTAATGTACTATTAATTTTTCAACACCATTAGAAAAAAAAATATTTTTTTAAACACCCTGGGAAAATTTTACTTTTTGCTTGTACTTGAAATTTCACTTGAAATTTTCATGACATTTACGAAATTTATTAAAATTTCCTAAATTTCTGAAATTTCATAAAATTTATGAAATTTATTGAAACTTTCAATAAATTTCAATCACTTTAAGTGCAATATTATATATTGCCAATATATTAATATTAAAATAAGCCCACTCGGGGACCATGGCAAATTGCCTCTCTTACCTCCTACCCCTCTGTGGGCCCCTGACCACCAATAATATAAATAGTAAATACCTATGTTTACCACAAATTTCCTGAGATTTCCTTTTAAAATATTTTTTAAATTACTAAAACTAAGTGAGATAAAGCACTTTTTGGTAAGCTAATGAGATTGTGCCACTTTCATTGTTTTATATTTATATATATTTATTAATTTCAAGTACAAGAAAAAGTGAAATTTTCCCAACCCTAGTTCTGACAAACAAGTTAACTAAAAGTATAAAATTACTAAAACCAAGACAGCACTTTTTGGTAAGCTAATGAGATTGTCCCACTTTCATTGTTTTATGCTATTAATTTTTCAACACCATTAGTAAAAAAATAATATATATATATATATATATATATATATATATATATATATATATATATATATATATATATAAGAAAAAAGGAAAAAGAATCCGTAAAAGTAAAAAAGAACGCCGTAAAAAAGCAGATTTGTAGGTATATTTTAAAGAGTTCTTTGAAAAAGTAATCCCAATGTTTGATCCCAAACAAGACGAGGAACCTATCAAACAATGGGTGCAGTATTTACCCCGAATAAGTAAAAAAAATTGGATATTAATAAAAACATTTTATTTTTTGTATGCGTTATGCGTATGCGTTATTAATTAAATTTGGGTCAATAAGCTTTGGGAAAACTTGTGGATTGTGGATTGGTAGACAATTTTTAACTCCCATCCAATATTCATTTTCAAAAAAAAATGTTCATTCAGTTTAAGGATTTCATCACAAAAAAGTTTAAATATCTGTTAAACATTCTTTAGTATATACAGGGTGTCCCAATACCACCGGACCAAATGAAAGGGTTTGATTCCTTACAAAAATCTAAGACGAAATTTCCCTTACCATTTTTTCAAATTCGCAAAATTGCAGAAGATATTTAATTTTTAAGGCTGCCAATGACAGTGCAGTGTTTCTGCTCTATCGGGCGAGTTTTTGTTATAATTTTTGCAAGAAGCTTATATTCTTTCATGGGAAAGTTAACAAAAACACATTTGGCGTAACAAACATTTTTTCTTATCAATAAAAGTAAGTATTACTTACCCTAATTATAAAGAATTACCGTATAAATAAAGTTTACCAAAACAATTTAAATGCGATTAAATAAAACAATAGCAAATCAAGTAGGTATGATTCTTATAATAAATCTTATAAATTAAATATATAAATAGACAAATGAATCATAATTTATTATTCAAAACTAATCGCTCAATTTATAATTTTAACCATTTTGAAATACAACTTTAATTTATATGAGACTTTTTTACTGCCTGCCTACTTAAAGGGCTAAAATCATTCTTGACCTATATTCACTTTTATTTTACTCTTTAGGGGTCGCTTAAAATGTAGTGTTTGTAATACTCAGTCAGTATTAAAGCTCTTTATCATACAAAATTAAATGTAACGTAGCACTACTTTTTAATGTAATTTACATAATATGGGTGTATGGAGATGTAGATTTTATCTTATAAGTTATAACTAAACTAAAAATCTTATACCCAAAATTTTGCTATAAATAATATAAATATATAAACAAAATTTTTATAACAAAATGTATAAGTAGATATATTAAAGAATTTAAATCTGCCAAAAAAAATTAGATTATTGCTTCCTAATAGACAAATAGTACCTAAAAGTATGTCAAAATAGTATATATAGAAAAGTGCTCACCTTTTTATTTATTTGATCTATTGGTAGATTACGAAACTATAGAACACGCTACATATACCATGCACACCGAGTGGTCCGATGATCTGTTATGTCAGCTTCCGTTGGCCAAACTGACCACTCGGCGGTTTGTTTCTTCATCCATCCAGTGGTACGTATACACGAGACCTTACCTACTCTTCCTTATAGGTGCACCTATTTTAACGGGAAAAATACCTACTAAGTGTCCCGTTCAAGGAATACATTAAATTGCAACACATAAATAATGCCAAAAATGGCAATAAAATCAGTATTCAATTTTTCACTTCAGTGTTTTTTTATTAATTTTTTGCATGTTAAATGAGTTTCTAATATTTTTTTATTTTTTTAACATAACAGGCAAAACTTTAACAAAATTTTAAATAAAATTATAAAAACCTATAACATTCTATTGGTTCAAATGTACTACTAGTCTATATTTATGTCAAAAACACACAATGAGGTTACTAATAGACTTGTTATGGTACGATATATGGGGCACTTAATTTTTTAACATTTCTTTATTTATTATTTTAGTACTCTACGAAATATTAGATTAGTTCTAAATATTTACCTTAAAATTGTATCAAGTATGCATTAGTAACTTAATATTTAGGCCCATTCTGTTTATATTATATAATTTATTAGGGACATATTAAACCTAAGCATTCCAGAGTTAGAGTCTTTGTCAACACGTAATAAAAATAGGGTATAGTCTGTTTTACTTAGAATGATATTTGTAAATCACTGTAAAGGCGCTAAGTGTAGACCTACGTGTTGAAGTCTTTAAGTATCCCATGATGCACTAGGGAGACTTACCAATACCGCACGTATGTCTGAGCCATATCGGTAGAGATGAGGTTTGTACGTTCCAGATGAACTATATATCGATAGGCCTGGTTGGCTTTGATAAAATAAACATAAAAAGAGCGTGTTAAAACTTAGGGAGGACAGTATTTTTTAGTGAGTTGGTTTTTGTTATTTGAAGAGAGAGTTACGTTTTACTATTGAATTCTTTAATTTTATAAGGGAGTGAATTTAACAAATAATACATTGTTTTTTATATAAATTCAGTTTTTTGTGAAAGTGTTGTTCATTTAAATGGGTATGTCTTTTCTATATTTAGTTATTATAATCTGAGGTCACAAATATCATAATGAGTGGTTAATTATTTAATATTTAATTTAAACTATATTTTATTTGAATTGTTTTTATCTTAAAGGTTTTTGTTGGACAAACCAAATTACAAATATATAATCATTATTTTATGTTTATAATTATTATATTTATATTACATTTACTTTAACATATTATATTGTAATGTAATTTTACATTTTACTACATATTTATATTTAACATTTATATACGTTATTTTGTACAGTTTATCTTATTTTATTTATTTGATAAATTGATATTCATTATTTAATATGTTGAGGCTTTGTTGCAATTTCGCCACACCAAACACTTGTTCGAATTTTCTTTTATTGTTTAACGGTGTTGGTATCGGTCGAGGGGGTCGAGCCCGGAGACTTGGAAGTATCAATTCATCCATCTTTACAATAAATGCTAGGTAGGGCCCATGATGTGAGTTTTTATGACATTGTCTTATTTTATTAATATTGATAATCATTTTATTTTACTATATTTGATTTGCACTGATATAATTTTATTACTTTATCATACCTGATTTTATTTATCATTTATGACTGTACATCAATTTTATTGCATAACTCTTGTCCACCACTATACTACTTATTATTTATATATTTTATTTATACAAATACCATTTATTATTGTTGCTTGTGACCTAAGTTATATTATACTTTATGTTTCACATTATTCTTGTTTGCTGATGTACATTGATAATTATTTCAATGTGTATTTGCTTTACTACATCGTCCGAACCTACCATTTATGTAGGTGAATAATCTTAGCAATATGATAATATAATTGATTATATTCATATTGATTACTTTGATGTTGTTGTATTATTTATATTGTTAAGATGTGCGACATATATGCATGTCTGTATTGTATATGTGGGTTTTTAAGGTTTTACCTTATTAACTTAAATCAATCATACTTTTCAAATACAAATGTTTTTATTTATATTATTAATGTAATATTGTTAATGTAACTCTTGTATAAATTGCCTTTATTAATAAACTTATTTTAATTTAATACTTTTTCTTTGCTTTTAAATATCTTTTCAATTGCTCAAGTACCGTATTCACATGTGTTGCAACAAAAAGGGGTCCTAAATTAATTTCTTTAAACTAGACGATCACGTGTTTTGGCCAAAGGTAGTTTTTTTGTGGTTTTAATATTTTTTTAATTATTAATGTGTGCCCCCCATGTCCCGTTCGTTACAGACTGTCAGTTTAACATTTCCCTACTTAATGTTAATTACTTATATTCCTAAAATTATTTTTAGTAAAATGTCACAATAGGTATTATTTTTGTTCTTTAAAATAACAGAATCCCTGCTTAAAATGCCCCATAGAGACCCTGTTCAAACCGATAGATATTTGTATCGGAATGTATGGTGTTTCTATAGGGTGTATCGGTATGTATAGGACCCATAGTTGGGATTTATGGTTGTTCTATAGGGATATCCATCCTTGATTTATTTGCTATTGGATTCAATGGGGAAAACACACATAAATGTAGAAATTAGTTTTTCCCCCATAGGACCCCATAGGTTTAATAAAATTTTGTCAAATGTTTTATGGTTGTTCTATAGGGATATCCCTATATATCCCTTATTGAGTTATTTGCTATCGGTCTCTATAGGGAAAATGTAAAAGTTATGGTGTGCCTATATGTAATTTCCTATAAATTTTCTATCGGGCCGTATCCGGAAAAAAACATGGACAAATGCACATATAGAATCCGGTACCGCCCGATAGATTATTTTGTATAGGGCTTTATGGGGTATTTTAAGCAGGGATAATAATTTTTAACAAAAAATGTCAAAATTGGTTGTATTAAAATATAAAATTTAGCAAATTAAAGTTTTTTGAAAAGGAGATATGAATATGGAAATTTGAAATAAAAAAAATACTGAAAATGAATGGAAAGTTTTAATATGATAAGAAGTCTTAAGTTAAAAAGTAACATGTATTAGCTGAACTAAAAATCTATATTAATGCCTAGACAAGCTATTTGGTTAGCTTATGGAAAAATATATAAATGTAATAAATAAATAAATAAATAATATAATAATTAACCTTTAAAGGTCAATTAAAAAATTTGCTGAAGGTTATTTAAAATAAAAAAAATAAAAATTATTATAAGTAGTTTTTAAGTTATAACGGATCTAAAATTGGTGCAGGGTGCACCTAGTATCCTTTTATGATTTACACATTGTGTATACTTCTATGGGTATTTTTTTCATTTGAAGAGCTACAAAATAAAATTTATAAATTGAAAAAAGCCACAACTTTTCAGAACCAAAAATCGTTATATCGTTATTCCAAGTAGCATTATAGTGACGAAAACTGATATCACCACTTCAAATGAGTGGCAATAACGTTTATATAACTAAATCTACCACGATACAGTTAAAATATCTCCATATTATATTAGCATAGTTGAAATCATGTGATTTGCACCAGCAGAATATACTTTATAGTTTTATAACTTTTTGGTGTATTAGTCTGGTATCTGAAATGTTATGACCACTTTTGTCACCACCTTAAAGTTGTCTAAACTTTAGAGTGGATTATGAATAGTAACTATAACCAAATCACTTAAGTATAACTTTGAAGTGGTAGTAGTAGTAAAGTAGGTATATAAGTTTTGGCAACGTTTTCGGAACTTTTCCCAAACCTTGAATGTGGCAAAACTTGATTATATAATTGCGGTGGTGATTGCCACGTTCTTGCTACATGCTTAAGTGATTTCCATGTTTCGTATAAAATTACCACTTTAAAGTTTCCTTCTTCAAAAGCAGACATGTTTACAAATAATCGCCATTTTAGGGAAATAAATGTGTAGTTTTAAACAAATAATTCTAGTTATTACCGCACCAAATTTAACACGTTAATACATTTTTATTGGTTTCAGGTGACCAGAAATAATAAAAAAAATTATTTTAGGCCTCTAGATAAATAATTTTCATATCACTTAAGTTTACAGATTTTTTTATTCTTTTTTATTACCACATTTTTTAACAGGGCGTGTTTATATTTCAAGCTATGATACCCATGTTTAACACTAAAATTTAATTAGTGTTAATTTTATGTCTTCGGATTATTTTAATTCTAGTTATTATTTGCAAGTTGTACTCTTACAATATTATAATTCAATGTTAGTATAATATCCTGTCAGAGAAAACAAAGATAATAAGATAAATAATATGCTGGAAAGAGACGGGGATAGAAAGTAAAGATTAGTAAAGTTTTGGCCACTATACCTCCACGTTATAGTAACGTAATCACAACGTGGTATTAACGTGTCTGTATACAATTCAAGAACGTTATTGGAACATAACTGACACTAAAAAAGTGTTCCCCATTTTAGTCAATTCCACGTAATAGAACCGTTTCTACCACGTGGCAGAGATTTTGGCAATATACTTTACAGTTCCAAGTATAAGTGGCCAACACGTTTTAACCACAATAATTGTGTATTTTTACCCCAAGTAGCATTTATAGTGGTTAAAACGTGTTGGCCACTTATATATAAGTTTAGGTTCCAAGTATACTTGGAACTTTAAAGTATATTGCCAAAATCTCTGCCACGTGGTGGTAGATAATTATTATCTACATTTTCATCCTATGTCTTTGCTACTATATTTTAAGTTACCATAACAATATTTTGTTTTTATAATGGCCGCCATAACTTATGTAGTTTGACATAATTGAATTCCTTGATTTTGTTTCTATCCATGTAGAATTCCAATATAGCGGCTATAGGAAAAACAAAAGGTGGTGGTGGTGGTGGTGGTACTTCATAATCTAGTTGGCGAAAAAATGACAAATTGCATAATGTAGATATGTTTATATGTAAAACTTACTTTTTTTTAAATTCCCAGATATTTGGTTTTACTGTTTTCAGTTTTTTTCAAATTATTTGAGAACCACATATTTTTTTTAG